GTAGTCAACATCCAGATAGTCCTTATGTAGAGATAGGACAAATCTCTACTGCATTTTATTTTTCATGGTTTTTAGTAGTAGTACCCGTGATAGGTGTAATAGAAAATACCTTATTTGATTTAAATTATGAAACTAAAATTGAAATTAATAAATTTCTAGGAAAAAATGAGGATAAGACTAGGAAAGAAAAATCTCATAAGTAATTATTATTCGTTAATTTAAGTATTATTGCTTGTTTAGGAGTATTATCTGTAGTATTATTTTTTAAAATAAAAGGCGAAATTTTAGGATTTATAATTTGTTTTTCTCTCTCTTTTTTAATTACAACTTATGTTTTAGATAGATTTAATTATTCTAAAAATACTTATGTAAAATTTTTACAGAAATTAGTATTTTTTAGTTTTATAATTATTTTTTCTTTATTAATTTATACTTTTTTATTTTCTTCAGTTGTTCAAGGTGCTTAGAAGAGACTAGTACACTAGTAGAGAGTGCTTCTGATGCTAATAAAGATCAATATAATTTTTCTTTACCTAAAGACGTGGTAGATAAAACTATTAACACTGTAAGGGATATTATTAAAACAGGAATAGAACATATGGCTCCTAATGCAGGTATAGGTCCTGCGGTGGGTACAGCTACAGCTGCTGCCGTAAAATCTTCTGCAGGTATCCCAGCATTGCAACGTGCCGCTTTTATAGCTACCACATCTTTAGTAACAGCTTTTGGAGCAAAAGTAGGATTAGATGTTGCGTCAAAGGTAACTAAAAATTTAGTAATAAATACAATGATTAAAGATTCTAATCATAGTAACCCAGATGTCAATAGTATTCCTAGTCCTACTTCTAATATAATAGAGAGTCCATTAGAAGCAGGGGATATAAGTCCCTTAAAAAGTTTCTTAACAGATATGTTTATATTAAATATTTTACTTTTAATTTTATTTTTTATTTTTATATCTTTAATTTTTTATAGATACATTTTTTCTTTTAATTTGAAATTTTTTTTCAGTTTTTATAAATAGAATTACGGCAGATAGATTTAAATTATGGTTTAATAATAATTAAAAAAACAAAAAGTTAAAATTTTAATGATAAATTTATATTTTTCCTATTTATATTTAATACTCTTAGTCTATTACTGATTTTATTTTTGAATATTTATGTTTCTTTTGAATTATCAACTAATATAAAGGACTATGTAATGGTATATAATTATTTAAACGGTATATCCTAATCCTAACTTAGATATAATAGTTTTATGAAGAAACTTATAATAAATATTTGAATTATATAATTTAGTTTTAAGTTATTCATAAGTAATAGAATTTTAAAGTTAGAAAATCTTTAGAATTAATTAATAAAATCTATAAGCTTAAGAGCGGTTAATTTAGTGTAATTTTATAAATAATCTATAGTGTATGAAAACATTTTAATTTTTGGTTATATTATTTTAATTATATTTATAATAATTAATCTCTTACTGATTAAAAATTTATTTTGGATAAATATTAAAAGTAATAGTCTTGCTAAATTATATGAATTAAAAATTTAAATATAAGATCTTAATCATATTAGTAATTTATATTAACCCCTTTATGTAATTTTATAGTAATTAGTAAGTAAATAAGATTTATATTTTTAATTATAATTATAAAAATTTTTAAAATAAAATTATTAATTTTAAAAGAGATTAAAAGAATTGTATATAACAAATAAAATATAACAATTTTAACTAAATTATTGTTTAAATATTTGGAAGAATTTAATTTTGGTTCCGATTGAACGCTTTCCAGTAGTTTAAGGCATGCAAATTTTTATTAATAAATGTTAATAAAGTGTACGGGTGAGTATATTAAATATAGAAAAACTATAGACTTCAGAAATAGAAGATATAAATAAAGGAAATTTTCTACTATAGAATTCGATTTAATTCGATTAGGTAGTTGATAGGGTAAAGGCCTACCAAGCCCACGATCGAAAGCCATGTTTGATAGATCATATGGCCACATTGGTAATGAAATATCCCAAGTAGAGAACTCTACCAGCAGTCGAGAATATTAGTCAATGCTCGCAAGAGTGAACTAGCTAACTGGAATCATGAGTGTGTCACTTGTGATAAGGTAAAGGAAAAATAATGATGTCACTTTACTATTAGTGTTGTCCAAAGCTGTGAGATGTATTGGGACTACATCGTTAATGGCTGTTAAACTATCAAATTCCGGGGACACCCTAAAGCTTATGATACCAAGCTATAGTCGAAAAGCTATAAGTGGCCAGAATAATTACCTGGGTAAGGTAACAAGTCATAAGATGATGGAAACTGAAATGGGTTATCGCGGATCTAAGTCATCTTTTATTTACTATAACAGCCAACCTATAATAATAAATAAAGATGTAAAAGAGCAACGAGTAGACGGTAGTTATTGCATTAAATCTAAATTTATGCAATTAAGGTGTACTCTAACGGGCTTCGAAAGAAGCTATCCTGTCAAAATCCCTTCTAACCAATTTAGATTTTATTCTACAAATGGAAGACCGTTGAATCCAAATTTTGTTACTGGGTTTACCGATGCTGAAGGATCTTTTACTATTTCAATTTTTTCTGATAATAAAGTCAGCACTAAAAAAAAAAAATTAGAGTTATGGCTAGATTTAAGATTGGATTAAATATTAAAGATCTTTCTTTATTAATAAAAATTCAAGAATTTTTTGAAGGCATAGGAACATTTACTCATGATAAAGAAAGTAATGCTTTTATTTATTCAGTAAGTAGTATTACAGATTTGCTAAATGTGATAATTCCTCACTTTATGAATTATCCATTATTGACACAAAAAGCAGCTGATTTTAAATTATTTATGCAAATTGTTCAATTAATGAACAAAGGTGCTCATCTTAATCAAGCTGGTTTACAACAAATAATTAATATTAAAGCTTCTATGAATAAAGGTAGTTCTGATTTTGTTAAATCTAAGTTTCCTCTAATTAATCCAGTAAAAAGAGAAATCATTGAAACTACAAATATTTCAGATCCACATTGGATTTCAGGATTTGTAAGTGGTGAAGGCAATTTTGATGTAGGAATTAGAAAAGCAACTCAAACTAGAAAAGAAAGAATTTATTTAAGATTTAGATTATCACAAGAGAAGAGAGATCTCAAATTAATGGAATTAATAATTAAATATTTAGAAGTAGGAAGAATTGAGTATGATAACAGAAAAGCTAATACTGTTGTAACTATAGTAGTAGGAAACTTTTCAGATATAAATAATAAAATAATTCCTTTCTTTAATCAGTTTCCTGTATTAGGTGTAAAGTACTTAGATTATTTAGATTTCGCAAAAATAGCGAATATGATGCTATTAGGTAAACATAAAACACAAGAAGGATTTGAAGAAATAAAAGTAATAGAAGCTGGAATGAATAAAGGTAGAAAGTAGATAAAATTAAAATATTGTATGAAAAATTTGATGACCCGTGGGTGCCAGAAGACTCGGTAATGCCAGAGACGCAAGCGTTAGTCATCCTGATCAGGCGTAAAGGGTTTGTAGGCAGCTTTAAATTAAATTAATTAAAGATAGAATCATATAGAGGTCACAGTCAGATAATTCTTAGAGTAGGGTTGATATCTGTAGATACTAAGAGGAATACTAATTAGCGAAGGCACTTTTCCAAATTATGATTGACGCTGAGAAACGAAGGGGAGAAAAGAAAATAGGATTAGATACCCTGGTATTCCTCTCTGTCAACGATGAATGGTAGTTGCTAGTATTTTATATTAGTGGCGATACTAACGTGTTAACCATTCCGCCTTGTGAGTACGATTGCAAAATTGAAAACAAAAAAATTAGTCGGTTTCGGAGCAAACGAAGTGAAGCATGTCATTTAATACGATAATCCGCGTAAAATCTTACCAGTAATTGTATATATTTTTAAAAACTTAATTTATTTAAGTAATTAAATATACAGGTGTTGCATGGCTGTCGTCAGTCCGTATCGTGAGAAGTGAGGTTAATTTCGCTAACGGACGAAATCCCTGTTTTTAATTAAATCTTAAAAACTTATGAATTTGATAGATTTTCATTTGGGGCTAAGACAAGTCGTTATGGCTCTCAGGTTCTGGGCTATAGATGTGCCACGAAAACTTTTACAAAGTGATGCAAAACTGTCCTTTTTGGAATTTAGGAAGAGCTAATCATAAAAAAAAGTTTAATATAAAATTTTACGAATTGTCGTCTGTAATTCGACGACATGAAGAAGGAATTTCGAGTAATCGTTGATAATAAGGCGCAACGGTGAAATATGCATCCGTGATGAACTAACTGTCTGTCGCTGGGAAGAAGTTTGGGTAGGAGGAAAACGGAGTTTGATTAAAATTTTTAGAAAGGCATAGTTTATATAATTAAATTATTAAATTTTAATATTTAATATATTATTAGTCTAGTATTAATAATAATTTAATTGGTTTAATTAAACATCTTTTCTTAAACTAATTAGCTTTTTTTAATTCACTTGGATAACATCTCAAAAGTCATAGCAAGGTAGTCGTACTGGAAGGTGCGGCTGGAAATTAAAATACATTTAACCCCCGTTACTTTATTAATAATAAAAATTGACTAAACAAAATGAAATAAATTTAATCATTAAAAAGTTTTTATAATGTAAATATAATTTAATATTAGTATATTATATTTTTAAACAGAATTGGTATATATTAGAGTTCAATTCTCTAATCTGTTAACGTGTTTCAAAGATAATGTATAAAAATTTTGTATTAAAATATTTTTATTTTATTAGGTATGAATATAATTTTTATGAGTTTAATAATCTTAGTAAGAATGGAGGGAAGGGGTTAGCTGAGTGGTTTAGCAGTAAATTTACACTTTACAGACAGGGTTTCGATTACTCTACTCCTTATTAAAAACAATAAAATATTTTAAGTCTTTAAGTAGACTAATCTTAAACATTTTGTATTAGTCTTAAGTATTATATACTTAAACGATTATGACGAAATTGGTAGCCGTGTGAATCTTAGGAATTCATAATCTTTTGATTGTAAGAGTTCGAGTCTCTTTAATCGTATTGTAAAAATAAAATGGTTATTAGTTTAATTCTATAAATAATTTAACATCTTTAGCTGAATGGTTATAGCGTTTGCCTTCGAAGCAACAGCATATTGGTTCGAGCCCAATAAGATGTAAAGAAATAAAGATGAAAAAATTAAAATAATAGAAATTAATTTAAATATTAAAAACCCTCCGGCGCCTAAGTTAAATAAAATAAACCAAATAAAAAATTTTTTAAGAGTTTTTGAGTTCTTTGTATTTTTTTAATAAATCAAGAATTGTGTAACTAATATTTTAATACTATTTTCTATTGTTCTATTATAAATTTATTACAATAGTTTAATATATTATTTAAATTGTTTAAAAACAAAGTTATATTTTATTTATAGGTTTAAGTAGTATAATATGATTAAGTTTTCAATAAATATTAATTATTACACACTTTTAATTCTAAAATTAGAAAAGAAAAAACAAAAAATGAATTTATATAAATTAATTATAAGATCTAATAAAATAATAAATACAAAAACACACAAGCCCGCCCGAAGGGGGGATATATACAAACAAATTAAAATTATTATATAATATTAAACTTTTTAAAATACGTATAAAGTAATATTATTCATTTTATATGAGTATAATTTAGACTAGATAGGTTTAATAATTAATTTAAATCTAATAATATTACTAACCTTTTATTAATAAGATTTTAGTTTTAAATTATTCTATTTAATATTTTAAACTTAATAATTTTTATTAAATTTAAATAAAGGAAAAATCAGTACATACTAAAAAATTCGTCACATCGAAAAAAACAAAACAACAAAAAACAAAAAAGTTAAATAAAATATTATAGATTAAGGAACTAAAAAAATATTTTTTTATGAATTTAATTTTTTCTCCTTTAGAGCAATTTGAGGTAGTTAGTTTAATTTCTTTAAATGCTCCCATTTTAGGTTATTTAAACTTAAGTTTAAGTAATTTAGCTCTTTATTCTATAATAATTTTAATTTTAGTAATAACTATTCATTTAGTATTTAAAGGTACAGGTTCAAATAATACTAAATTAATACCTTCATACTGGTCAATCGCTTTATTAAGTTCATATGCAAGCATTAATGCTATTGTGCGAGAACAAATAGGACTGCGAAATGAAATTTATCTACCTTTTATTTATTCTTTATTCTTTTTTATAATTATAGCTAATTTAATAGGTAATACACCTTATTCTTTTACTATTACCACTTCTATTATAGTATCAGTAGGTCTAAGTTTTACAATTTTTATAGGTGTAACTATTTTAGGTTTAAAGAAACATGGTTTACATTTTTTCTCATATTTTATCCCTAGTGGTACTCCTCTGGCTCTAGTACCTTTATTAGTATTAATTGAAGTAACAAGTTATTTAGCTAGAGCTTTATCTTTAGGAGTACGATTATTTGCAAATGTAACGGCAGGTCATACTTTACTTAAAATACTTTCAACTTTCCTATATCAATTATTTAGTAGTAGTATTATTATAGCTATTTTCACTTTAATTCCATTTGCAATATTTGTAGCACTAATCGGATTAGAAATAGCTGTTTCAATCATACAAGCTTATGTCTTTATACTATTAACAAGTTCTTATATAAAAGATGCAATTGAATTACATTAAATTTAAGTAATTTAAAAGTAAAAGATGATACCTGCATTTAAAATAACAAATAGTGAAACACAATAAAAATAGTTGACTCGATTTTATAACATTTATAGGATATTTTAGTTTTGGATAAATTTAAATATTTATAGATTCTAAGGGTTAGTAAGATAACGCCATTTAAATAATTAAATGGGTTAATAAAAGATAGCTGTTTTATCTGTTTTCCTTCCTTTTTAGGTTATGTAAGAGATTTAAAAATGCTAGATAAGAGATATTTTAGAATTAAATCTTTTATTTAGTTATGTTCTTGTACTGAATTTAAGATATTGTCAGATTAAATAACTAATCTCTTCTTATACTTTTAATATATTATAATTAGGACAAATTTATTTAAATTTTATAAATTTTTATTTATTTAATATTTTTATTTATTTTTAATTTTTTATATTAAAGTTATAAGGTTAATAGGACATTATCAAATATAAATTTTTATATTTATGTTAGCCAAATAAAGATACAACATAAGATAATAAGAATAATGGATCAGATAAAAATAAAATAGATTTAAGTTATTATTTTTCTTTACCTTAATTTTTGTCTTATTTAGATCTTAATGTAACGGACTCAGAATCTAATATAGCTCAATTAGCTTATGGTATTTTTATTAATTTCTTAGCTTTCTATTGTTTTATAAATATAATAGGTTATATGATAATCTATATCATAATTAAAAAAGGTAATTATGAATAAAAATATCCTAAAGAAATTTATTAACTATTATAAAAACACTAATTATTATTCATAACCATAGATGTATTATTTTAACTTTTTTGTTTTTACTATTAGCATGTTTATCTTTATATATTCAAGTCTTGGTAAAAAAATAGAGCTTAAAAATAAAACTATATATTTTTAGTATAAGAGTTATTTTTTAACGAATTGTTTAATAGAAAATTGTTAATAATTTAATTTAACCCCCTTTCTATTTAGTTAAGTATATTTATATATTTAAAATTAAAATCTTTAATTTAAAACATAAATATTTAGGATAGAAGTATAAAATATGAATAAATCACTTTAATCTTAAAAAGGAGACTTAATTTAAATCATAAGTAGAAGACAAGGTTAAAATAATCTGTAGTTTAGGTTAATAAAAGAGTGAAAAATTTCATCATGAAAAATCTTATAAATAAAGATAATTTATATAAAAATAAAGAGGAAATAAATAAAATTTCTTCTGATAGATTCAATACTCTATTGGATCAGTCTTTTTGATATAAATTAATTAAGTCAAGATAAAGAATTAGATATATTAACAGAATTAGGTAATGTTGGATAAGTTAGAAGAATTTAAATTAAAGATTATTAGTATTAGATAAAGTGAAAATGATAAAAAAATTTTTATACATGAAGCTATTAAAAACAAATTAATTATTTTAGAGATAAAAATTTTATAGAAGATCAAAAATTGAATCAATTAATAGAGGGAATAAAGATAATGTAGATAGTAACCTAGGATTAAAATAATTTAAAGTAATTAAGGAAGAAATGATGATTAATAGAAACATAATAAAAGAAACAATTTTACAAAATAAACCATTAGGGGAGATAGGCGATACTACTTTGAATGAAATAGTAAGTAAAGGTATGGAAATTATCTCACATATAACGGAAGGATTAAAAATTGAGATGGTGGGAGGTTTCTCTATATTACCTGCTTTTTTAAGTATAAAAGTTTTGTAGAATTATTTGATTCTTTAGCTTTTAAAGAGGATTTGCCCACTAGTGATATTAATCAGTCTATACTGATGAGAGCCAGACAACTTATAATTTTTATGGTTTTTTGAGCACCCATCATAGTAGGTGCTTTATATGGTATAAAACAGGTAAATTCTCTTTACACCAAAACTTATTATAAGTAGTAATTATTTAAGTTCAAGTAATGAAAATAAATAAATTATTAATGATAGTGTAAAGAGTATTAGTTTACTAGCTTTTTTTAATAGATTACCTAAATGGTTAAAACCATTTATTTTTTTTATAATTAGTGTAATTTGTGTTAAATTTATAGTAAAATATACGGGTATAAATGAAAGTAATATTTTAATTTATAAATTATTATTTAATATTGTATTAATTAAAGGATTTTTTATTTTAGGTACTATATTATCTATTATTATGATATGTTATTATTTATTTAGTTTATATTTATTTATAAAGTTATTTAAAGAAAAAATTAGTATTCCTGTGTATTTACCTAAATTTATATTGTATTGGCTTAAGTTTATTCAAGAAATAAGTAAAACTGAAAATAAATATTTTTAGAATTATATTTAAGACTAATATTAGTTTACCTATTTATTTTAGCATTAACTCTTTTTACTTTTTTTCTAATAAGTATGGCTAATCTTTAAAGTTCATTACTATTTTTAATAAATTAAAATGAGTCTAGATAATTTTTAAAATAATAGAACTATCAAAGACTTTTATTTAATTATTTATACTATAATTTAATATTTTTATATTGAATATAAAACTCCCCACTCCGGGCTAGATTAAAATAAATAATTATTAATTTTAGGTATTATTTTTATTTATATAACAAAATTTGTCTTTCATAATAACTAATTTCTTTTTTACTTTCTGCTTATCTACTTAAATATATACATTAATAGTATTAAAAATTTTACTAATTAGTTCTAGCTATTAAAAAAAAATTTGATATATTGTGAAACAAGTAATAGAAAATACTTAAAATATATTAATTATATGTGTTTAAAAAAGTTATTCTCTTTAACGAATTGTTTAATAGAAAATAGTCAATAATTTAATTTAACCCCTTTTTATTTAGTTAAGTATACTTATAAATTTAAGACTTAAATTTTTATTATTAAATACTAGTAATTAAATACTGAGTGAGTAAAACATTAAATCGATAATTTACCGCTCTCCAAGTTTAATTTTTTAAAGAAATTTATTTTTAAATTTAAGATATAGAAAAAGGAAGTTAAAAAATAATAGATAAAAAGCTTTTAGAAAGTTTTTAAATTTTAAGGGAAAAAAAAAAAAATATTATAATTTTAAAAGAAATTATTATGATTCTTAATTATAAAGTTACTTACGTATTTAAAATTTTAAAATATAATTTTAAAACTTGTTACTTCAATTAATACTAATAAAGGTACTAGGGTCAGAGGAGTACCACTAGATAAAAAAATATGAAAAAATGTAAATCATGTATATTTACACCTAAAATAGTTCCACCTATAAAATTTGTAAACTTGGACCTGCTAATGTTATAATAGGAGTAATTATAATAAATAAATTAGTAAGAGATTTTAATTATTAAATTATAAAGTAGTATTATAATTTGGAGATCTATGTAAAAACCAAAAAATTATTGAGATTTAAAGTTATAAGTGGAAACTAATAAAATTATTCTAAAGTTTTAGGATTCGTGGCAGAGCGGTTGAATGCACTCGTCTTGAAAACGAGAACTTATGTCTAGTAGGTCGTGAGTTCAAATCTCACCGGGTCCGATTTAAGCTGGTAAAAAACAAATTGGCTTGTTGCTTACTTTGGGAGTAAGAAGTTGCTCGTTCGAATCGAGCTTACCAGAACTAAATATTTTTACTAATTAAAATTTTAAAATAAAATAGTAAAATTATATTTATTAATTTAACTCCCTTAAAAATAAATGTTAAAATTTTAAAAAATCATTTTCTTAAATCTTAAATTTTAATATGTAAATTTTATAACAGACAAGTTCAGAGTTAATAGTAAACAATACCACTAAAAAAAACAAAACAAAATAATGACATGCAAAATTTTTTAAAAATAAGACTAATACAGGTACAAAACAGATTTAGAGTTAACACTCAAATTTTAAGAATAATATCTGTACAAAATGATTTATCTTTTTTAGCAAAAAGATATTATAGTGATTATATAGAAAATAAAAAGAGTGAAGACTTGGAAAATAAACAAGTCAGAATACCAGCTAAAAATATTTCTCCTGATTACCTGAAATTAAATAATAATACTAAAGGAAGAACAAATCATAATAAATTATTTAATTTAAAAATAGGAGATAAAGAATGGAAAGAAATTTGGAATAAAAAGTTTAAAAAGTATAAAAATATTGGAAAATATTTACCGAAAATTTCAGATAGATTATTTTTTTCTTATTTACTGGAAAGAAAATTAAATTTAAAATCTAAATATACATTTAATGATTTCTTATCTAGCTCTAAAGTTATTAATTATAATTTTATAAATACCAATGAAAAAGTAGATTTTAATTCTCTGTATAAATTATTCAAATCTTTTTTTAAATCTTTAAAATCTATAATAAGTTACCCTATTTTTAAAAATTCACCTCAAAAATTAAAAATTTTATTATTTTACTATGTAATACCTAATAAGAATATTTTAAAAGTATATAAAAATTATCATAATTATATTAAATATAATGAAAAATTATTTAAAGATACAATACTTAGAACAAAATTAATAAAATTTATGATGAGATTTAAAATGATTCTTTTTATTTCGAAGTGGAAAGAAAATAATAATGTTATAAAATTACCTAATTTTAATAAAAAAGCTAGTAGTCTTTATATACCATTTGTCTATAAAATACAAGATGGACTGGATGGGTCAAATAAAAACACTAGTCAAGGAAGTGAAAAATTAACGGAATTAGAATTAATGAAAGATCATATCCAAATAAAATCAGAGACACAAATAACTAAGATAGAACAAAGACCTATTTTTGATCTAAAAACAGTTCAATATAATTTATCTAAATTAATTCCTTTCCATAAAAATTTGGTTAAATTACTATTAGAAAATGATTTTAATTTATTATTAGATAAGACTAATCAAAAACTTAATAAGACCATGGAAATTAATATAATATTGGCTAGAAGTTTATTTAATAAATTATCTTTAAATAAAGATTTTGAAAGATCTGACAATTTAGAAAGTTTAAATATTGGTATTAATCTCGAGAAAGAAAATACGTTATTAAGACTTAAATTAACACAAAATTACTTTTATAATATAAAAAAAGAACTGATTAGTATATTAGAAATAGATAAGACTAATAATTCTTTAAAAATCTCTAATGTTTTTAAAAATGTTCAAGAAATAATTTTAATATACTCTGAATTAATTTTCTTAAAAGAAAAAATTCAAAATCAAGAAATATTTAAAAATAATTATAAAAAAAATATTGTTTATTCTTTAATTTTTTTAAATAAATTAATTCTATTATTTATAAAATTAAAACATTTTAAAATTGTTTTAGATAATCAAAGTGTTCCAGTCTACGATAAATTATATAATTTAAATTTTAATTTAGAAGGTTTAGAACAATTAAATTTAGAAAGTTTAGAGAAGTTTTATAATACTTATAATAATTTAAATATTAATAGAAAAGACACTAAAAATATTTTTAATTATTTAAAATTACCAACTATGACAGAAGTATTAAGTTTAATAAAAGAACAAAAAACTGATTTTATCGAAGAACCTTTGATTATGAATTATTCTAATCCTTATGTTTATAAAAATGCAAATTTATTAATTATTACGGCATTACATTCTTTATATAGAGCTATGCTAATCCCTTCTTTAAATTATAAAGAAAAAGATACTTTATTAAAACTAAATAATTTAGAAAAAGATAATTGTAATAAAAATTTAAAATTTAATGAAACTTTAAAAAATTTTAGACAAGAGGTTTTTAATTTTTCTAAGTTACAGAGAGCTAATGATAATGATAATAATAATTTAAAAATTTTAAATTATATTAAATCTAATAATGGCTCTTCTATTGTTTCTTTAAATAAAATAAAATTTAAGTATTTAATTTCATTCTTAGAAAGAATATTTAATAAAAGTATAGAATTAGAATTAATTAGATTGAAATATCCAGCACATCATAGTAATATTTTATGTCAAGTATTAGGTTTAAGTTCTAAAAGATTAAATTTTTTTACTATCATGAGAAAATTGTTATATACTGTTAATATTAAAAATCCTGGTGTATTGAGACCTAATTTTAATATTATTCCTTCATATTTATCAGGTATAAAAATTAGATTAGGTGGACGTCTTTCTACTGAGAAATTAATTCCAAGAAAAACAGTAAAGACTTATCAAATGGGAAGTATTGCCAGAGATAAAATAAATTTTAAGGATAAATCCAAATTAACATTGAAAAATAAAAGAGGTGCCTATACTTTTACAGTAATAACTAGCCATATATTTAAAACTAATAATAAAAAATTAAAATATTAATTAAAGTTATAAGGTTAACAGACATTATCAAATATAAATTTTTATATTTATGTTAGCAGCAGCAAAATACATAGGAGCAGGTTTAGCTTGTTCAGGTTTAATTGGAGCAGGAGCTGGTATTGGTTTAATCTTCTCTGCTTTAATTACTAGTACAGCAAGAAACCCTCAAATTAGAGGTCAATTATTCACTTATGCAATCTTAGGATTCGCTTTAGCAGAAGCCACAGGATTATTCTCATTAATGGTAGCATTTTTATTATTATACTCATAATTTTTTTTAATTCTTAATATTTTTCTTTTAACCCCCTTTTAATTTAAGATTAGTGGTAAATTATAGTACTTATAATTTAGTTTCTAATTATTTACTCAAATAGTAGTTCTTATTAAAATTAAAACAAAATAAATATTGATTAATATTGAACATATTTATTCTATATATATTTTTATCTCAGTAAATATTTTTATTAGCTATAAGAGGTTTAAATAAAGGTCATAATATTACAACTTAGAATTCATTATATTTTTATTTTATTATAAGATATCTCTCAGAATAATACAATTTATAGGAGCCCGGATTGGTTTAATAACGCAGGTGTAATAATATTTTTTTAAATATAATTAAATAATTAGTATTATAGATAGAGATCTTTGAATAATATCTACTAAAAACAATACTATAAATTAATTGAAGTATTATAAAATATGAATAATAATTTTCTGAACAATTATAATATCATATCATAAATAAACTGAAGATTAAATTTATAGGAATTTATATGTGAAATAAGAATTCATAAAAAACCTAAAGCAAAAAAACAAATAAGTGAATTTTAATTATTTGTTTTTACTAAAAAAAACAAACATTTTAAGATCTAATGTAACTAATTCAAAGGCAAATCTAACCATTTATGCTTTTTATAAATTTAATAGCTTTAATTTTTATAAAAATTATAAGTTTAAGATAAATTATATATTAATTTAAAGGGTTAATAGAAAATTATATAATTTAAATTTTAATAATTAATATAAAAAAGTTCTTATTATTTATAATTATAAAAGTATTTATTCTGTTTAACTTACTTGTTTTTTATTATTTTTTCTTTATGCTCAATTATAATTATATTAATTTATAGTTAAATATATAAAATTAATTTTCATTCTTGATTATATAATATAATAAAACAAATTTAAGCTTATAATTTAACTCCTTATCTTTATAGATTCTTACTGTAAATATCTTAAAAAGGAGACTTAATTTAAATCGTAAGTAGAAGACAAGGTTAAAAGAATCTGTAGCTTAGGGTAAAAAGAGCTAAATAAATTTGTTTTGTTTTTTTTGGTTTTATCATGAAGAGATGGCTCTTTTCAACAAATGCTAAAGATATAGGAACATTGTACTTAATATTTGCAGTATTTGCTGGTATATTCTTTCTAATTAGATTCATGCTAGCGTTAAATCTATATATATGCTGGGAAGCCTTTAATAGGTCATCAGCAAGTGGCAGTGTTAAAATATTTAATATCTTTAATCTAAATAGTCACTTCAGAGATAACACTATAGACTTTTTAAATTTTATATTTTATTGGTATTTACAATTATTAAGAATTATTAATGATTATTTAAACTTTTTTATAATGGGCTGGTTAAAGCTACCTTATAGCTACATCATTCTAATTTTAATTTAAATCAACATTTTATCTATCTCAGTAACTCATACGTTTTAAGCTTAGAGAATTATTTAAGTTTTTATAGTTTATATTACTCCTTTATTTTAACTCTTATAATTAGCTAAGATAAAAATTCTAATGTGAAAAACTCTTTTTCTTATAACTCTTCTTCAGCTAACTCTGAGACTTCTTCTTCTACGTATAGGACAACTTCAAGTGATGATATAAATTGTACTTCTACTGATTTATAAGATAATTTAAATAACTCTCAGATACCTAATCTTAATTTAAAAGGTCAGTTAGGTTATTACTTAGCAGGCCTAATTGAATCAGAAGGTGCCATAATAGTCCCTAAATAAAACTCTAAAAATAATACTCCTACCGTAAAGATAAGCTTTCATATTAATGATTTAGAGTTTGCATAAAATTAATTAAAACCTTAGGTTATGGTTCAATTAAAATGGATTCAGTAAGTTCTAATGCTTTTACAGTTGTAATTAGAAGTAAAGATGGCTAATTAGATTTAATTTATTTAATAAATGGCAAACTTAGAACAACTAAAATA